GGTTGGGGGGGGGGCGGCATGGGCACTCCCATATAAGAAGGACGAAGGTGCTCATCATACCATTTGTATGGGGGTTAAAAAGCAGTTTTTGTACCTCTAAGGGGGTTGAGACTCAAAAAATCCACAGCGGGAGCTTTTTGCGGTACCGTTTAGGGTATTGAGCAGAAATAAATATGACAGGAGATAGTGCATTGCTTTAGGTGAATTGCTACCTGCTACGGGTGAAAAAAACTTCAAGCCACGCCCACAAAACAGGATCTTGATACCCCTTAGTTTTCAAAATTTCCGACGAGCACCCTTGTCCTTTTTCATAGTGCATGCTGCTTCTTTCCACACCGTAAATGACAAAGACAAGCTGTCGAGAACCCATCGATCTCAGAAAAAAACACGTTTTTTTTTTCAGCTACTTGGAAAACGAACACATGCGCCACTGTGTTCCCAGCAATATTTCCAGCGGTCTTTTCAACCGTCCATTGAAGTATATCTACACTGACGGCAAACCCAACATGTCACAGCCGACTGTACAGAACCTGAGTACAGGGGAGATCCTCAGGGGACCCCAGACGTATGCCAGTATTTTGTCCTATTTCACCACTACTGACATGACCCCTGAAGAGGTTTACAAAAAAGGATGGGAAATGGTGAACGAGACATACCCTCAGGTACTTACATGTAGACTGCGCTGCCAGTTGAGAAATTAGAGATTTAAGCAAACTGCGACGGTAACGGCGACGAGAACGCCACTAAAAAAGGTTTACTGAGTAGAACAATGGCTGTGCACGTGCGTTATAAATCTTTGTACATTTCTTTGCTGTCCTCTGCAAAACAACAACGTGAAACGACTAAGTTCTGCGTATTTTGGAGAACGCGAACAAAGGTGGCTAATTTTCATATTTTCATTTGGAATTTATTGAACGCTGGCGTTTCATATTTAGCTTGAGCAAGTTCTGACACCAATAGACGCTCTTAACAGATCGAGACAATGGCGAAATTCGAAGGTAAAATATAAATTCATCTTGTTACGGGCGTTGTCCTCGGGTTCGCCGTCGTCATTGCTTAAGTTCTCGAAGTACCCGACTACTATGGTATATCCGTTTATTCCAAATGGCAACGATATGAAGAGAATCTTTGAAAATCCTCCATAGAGATCATAACACTTTGAATTGCTTCATATTGCGAGAACCGAGAAATAAACTTGTTCGGACTTTTGAGATGATTAACACGTTCAGAGAACTTTTCTTGCAAAATGTATCGGAACTTTGCAGAGAACTGGTCGCATATTACATGTATCGATCGGGTACAAACATTTTATTTGGGCGCGCAATTCAAGACTTTTATCAAACATATCGTCGTTATAATTCCAGTGTTGTTTTTTCACACAGATACTTTCACTGGCGAAAAGGATAACAGGAAAACAAGAAACCAAAGCCGCAGTGAAGGAATTCAAAACCAACATTACATCTCAGGACATGTACTTCAACAAAGATCCGTTACCAGCTAACGAGACAGGCGAACAGGCATTCAAACTATGCAATTCAGTAGCAGGCGCCATGAGGTTTTGTCCGAAAAGATGGGAAACCTTACAGAAGTGGTTCAAGGCCTCTAGGGAGGTAATTTATGCGTGAGCCAACCTTTTTTGTCTTTTGTTTCTTTTTGTTTGACAAAACACAAAATTGCTTGCATTACTTACAATACAGTGTCTCTTACACAACTGACATTACAACACTCTACAAACCTCCTGTAGCTAGGGTTGACGTGTAATAACCATACATAAGTACAAGTGACTTGCCGGACGCGGATTACCCAGTTTTAGCGCCGGATCAATAACTTGGACACAAAACATTCCTCACACTTTTCACTTTTTACAGTCTGAGATGGTTTCTGGAATTAAACATTTCTTTTCGTGAATATTTGAAGCCGTCTGTAGCGAGAAAAGTTGCCCCACTTCAACGCCTTTTCCGTCAACATATATTTCACATCTGGACAGTACAGTTCAGTTGCCGCCTGCTGAATCCTGACTGGTCAATTGATATTTTATGCGCACTGACCGTATGCAAGGAGACTAGTACCTTGCCAGGAGGGTCTCAGATTTCTCAAACTGGGAGGTTCGCTGAATTTTCCATCTTGTAGTTCTTAACTGTCGCCTTATGGTTTTTGTAGGCCATGAGTTTCCTCGAACCAAAGACAGTAAACATGTTTTACTTCACGGGTAAGCAGCAAACCACACCCAGCTGTCCAGTGCAACTCTCGCCTGATTTCAATCCATCCTCTGCTTCTCAAAGTTATGTCAGTGGTAATGCAGCTTGCTCTCAAAACTGCAGGTAAGGACCTCAGTGATTGTGTGGAGAGAGGCTCGGGGGGGAATTATGAAATTAGGAAAGTGTCAGTTGATGTGCTGTTTTAGAACCGGTACCTCTTAGGGTTGAAAAATCATTTCAAGTCACGCGCACACGATAGGATCTTGGTTCCTCTTGGGGTTCTCTTCAAAGTTTCCGAAGAGCCCCCCGTCCATTTTATACGGGAGTTCCCCTCCGGGGGAGAGAGGCTTTCGTTAAGCAGTAATCACAGGCTAGTTGGCGTTGTCCAATACAGTGGTGAAGTGCTCGAAGCTACGATTCTCTTTCATAATAGCTGTCTTCTTTGTATTTTGTGTAGATATTACATTCCATTTTTTCTCGAAAACATGGGTCCAATCTTCAGTGAATGGAGTGTCAACGCTCACGAGGCGAGGCCTGGGCACCATACACAGGCAAGTTTATGAGTTCTGAACAGGTTTAGGGAGATCTCCAGATAATCGATCACTTAAGGAGCTAAGTCACGGTATTTTTAGTTATTTCAGTCACGTACAAAATTTCCTTTAAATTGAAGAAAACCTGAAAATAATAGTTTACTAATTAAGATAAGAAAGCACTTACGAGATAGTAATAAACGATAAAGGAACAAAGATGGTTAAGGATGGAGAAGGTTAACACGGATTACAAACGACGAACTTGAATAATCTAGGCTAAACTTGTCAAAATATGCAGACCGTGACCCAACCCCCTTTAAACGAATTAAAATCAATGAACGTTACCTCCAAAACATTATCCGTTCATATGAGGGGACACTTCATTATAATTTTAGCCATTTTAGCAGATAAAAAAACAAACAAACAAACAAAGAAAAATTACTCACAAATGTGGTAACTCGCATAGAAGTCGAATTCATGAAACAAAAAACTATTTTATCATCTTAGATTTGATTTTTGTAACTAAACACATTTTTTCCTGCCTGTTTCAGGCACAAGGTTTTGTTGAACACTTTATGGACAAATGTGGCGGAGTAATCAGTTGGATTAACCAGGTCACCCAGTCGATAGCTTTTGCGGAGGGCTGGGGACTATACGCCGAATTGCTTATTGCTGAAGACACTGATTCCTACGACGATCAATTGTGGCAAAAATACGGGGCACTGAAATGGAGGGTAGGTTAATAAGTTTTGGATATATAAGTTTGTATTCCACGGTTCTGGGCTCACGTGTTCGAAAAAAGCACCAAAACAAAAACAAAAATTTACTGTTTAAAGACCGACCACTCACTGCATATTATTTACATAATCTGCACATCACCAACAACTCGAAACTTTCTATCGCAATTCACGAGTTAAAAAAGAAAATTATAGCTCATAGTGTATAATTGAATTCATTTTCTTTTCTTTAGCTGTGGCGCGCACTTCGTCTGATCCTCGACTCAGGCCTCCACAGCAAGGGCATGACCAGACAGGAAGGACTGGATCTACTGGCTAAATACGCCTGGGACACTTCAGATGTTGCGCGTAAAGAGATGACTCGGTACCAGTCCGGCCCGGGTCAAGCAAGCGCGTACATGATTGGTCAGCTGACAATTCAAAAGTTGAGAGATGATGCCGAAGACACATTAAAGGAGAGTTTTGATTTGAAAGAGTTTCATTACCAGGTGAAACGCGCGCGTTTTAGTTGTCAGGTCAAAGCCAGTAACTAATTGGGCCGAGGCCATGTACAATTCAGGGAGTAATCGAGAGAGTAATTGCAAAATCAGACGAGCGCGTAGCGCGGGGCCGATTTGAAATAACTGGTGCCATTACTCCCTGAATTGTACTCCACTCGGTCCAATTACTAATTAATTGTATCAATAACAAAATTTCGAAATTAAAAAAAAGTCTTTTGAGAACTTCTTTCAAGCGAAAAAGTGAGTAGCCATTAATATAAAGCGCGCGTGACGTGGAACTGACGTGTGAATGGCGAGGGCATCCAATTATCTTATTGGGCCAACTTGTTGTAATTGTGATCGCAAGCCGATTATAAACAATTATTGGATGAGGTTGTTTTTGATATCCAGAATAATCAAGGTCGAGGTAGGAGTTATTAGCCGAAGCCGAAGGCTGAGTCTGATTACCCTTACCGATATCTTGATTACTCTGGATACCACAAAAACCGAATCTAATAATTGTTTTATTATACATTGAACGAAATGTTTTTGCTTCTTCACTGACGGCAAGCAACACAAAACGCGCGATCTTGACATGATTACCCTTAGAAATCATGCATCGCGGTCATACATGACATGATTGCCGGTGACCTTGAGTGTCCTTGACATGATTATTGTATAATCTGCAGCTAGATGACGTCACAGGCGCTGATTTCGAAAATTCACTGTACGCTTTCGGCCAATCAGAAAAGAGATAGTGAGTTCAATGTATAATAACGGAACAAATAGGCGCGCGGAGAACCAAGCACGATCGAGAATTTTGTTATAGATACGATTAATACGTTTATCGATGAGCAGAATGACATAATATTCTCCTTTTAGCCTGCATAGCTTGGCGGTTTGAGCAATTTATCTCCTGAATACACTCAGAATAAGACCGTGAAATTTGCAAGCTAGCTTTGTCGATTAGTCAACAATGGTTCATCAAGTCAGATTCAGTTTGTAACAGCGAGCTTTCAGCTTAACACAAAGGATAAGTATTTTTCTTCTTAAAAAAAACGTAAGTACACTTACAAAATAGCTACTTCTTGTCATAATTCTCAACTGAATGTTTCCTTGTAGATTCTCAACCAAGGCTCTGCAACAATGAACTTCTTGGAAAGCCACATCAAGCAGTTTGTTGCATGCAAGCTGGCACCGAAAACCCCCGGGTGTGAGTCCATCTTGAAACCTGCAAACGTTGATGCCAAAACCGGTTTTGAAAACAACGCTGGTAACAAGCTTTCCTCTGGCCACTTCAGTTATTATAACTGGCCATACCCGCGGAGGCATTACGTATGATAACACAGCACTATTGAACATTTAGTTTGGCTTATATGAAGTTAGTTTTCAAAGCTATACAGAATAACGTTTGCCTTTCAAGGCTGCACTAGCCCCGCGCGGACTTTAAATGTAAATAACTTGACCTGAAATGTATATTGGAAGAGCTTTTAGGATTGTACATCAGTGTGGAAACATTTTTGAACGCTCTATAGAAAGTCTTACCTTTAAGGAGAAGAGTGCCCTCCCCCCCCCCACCCCCGCCTGGTCCTGGTGGAATTAGGTAAAATTAGGCTCCGATTTAACGCAGGGCAACTTAAAATATCATAAAGTAGTAAAATAGTTCTTTTCTTTAACTGTTAATAAAGAAATCAGCGCACCGTTAGAATCACAGCACATTTAACAAGGCAATTTTCATTAAGATTTCAATCATCTCTCTCCCATCTTTTTTGTTAAGTTTGGGAAACGAACGACCATTCTGAGGCGCTCCCGAAGGTTTCAAATTGACCTCGCCTGAAGAAAGCGGTCGCATTTAGATGTTTCACTTGGACACCGTTTATATTATATATGTTGAAATCATCTGTGGCTGGGACAGAAACTGCTAAACAGTGTGTTTCAAAACCAAAGGAGCAGCTAAAAGAATGCATCATGCTTTGTAGTTTTTGTTAAAGGGACAATTTTTATTGTATTTTTAAGGAAATGAGCAGTTTCAGTGAGCTTCAGTTGTGAATTTTGAAATATCCTACTTTACTCCAAATCCTGTCCCTAACGTCATACATCCTTTGCACTTTTCAAACTCAACTGTTGTTGTTATTACGAATTCCACGATAAGAAACTAAAAGACGCAACCAATAAACAAGGGTTAGAGCTGTAACTTTCTCCATCCAAGCCTGCATTTTGGGATAATAATTTTGAAATCTGCCGTAAAGATTTGTTTAATATGTTTAGGTGGAAAAATCGCAATAGGGTAACATCCTTACAGCTTTATCTTCACGAATAAATACTTTTATGCGTTTTTTTCTTTAGGAATGTACTTCTCGTCGTGTAAGGCTTGTAATACCTGTTCAATTATAAGT